GGAAAGAGGTCAGCTATGGAGCAGGGAGTGCTGAAGAGAAATCACATTTTGGCCTGGTTCCAGCAAGTGTTGCTAAAATCCCCTCTTTGGGTGCTTTCCTGCCAGGGGGCCATCTGCTTTCAGTACTCGCATTGGCAGCAAGACCTATGACTGCATCTGCACTAAGCTGCTGGTGACCCCCACTAGAGCCACTGGCCTGGTGAGCAGGAACTGAGCTCATGCAGTCACTAGCCAAGGAGCCTGGATTTCCCAGAAGGGTGCCTTAGACGTGTGGGCACCAGGACAAAGCGCAAAGAAGCCTAAGCTCTCAGTTTTCCAGCCTCTCTTAGCCCAGGCAGCCAACCCAAACAGCCCTGGGCCTGGCGAAGGTCCTCTCCAAGCTGCACAGATGGCTCCCAGCAACAGGGAGCAGAAAACAGCAGGCTGTCCCTAGGAGTTTGCTAGTCCAGCCCTTCGTAAGAGCTCTTCAGAAGACAAAAGATGCATCCAACAGGTCTCCAAGAAGCAGCCAAGTCTGCACAGCCAGCATGTGAGAGATGCCACCAACTTGCTCTGCTCACCTGGGTGAACCGGAGGAACTCATAGGCATTTTGGAGGCAGGACATGAATTCAGGCATCTTCTGGGCTTCTGCCTAGAAACAGAGGTGCTCAGTCAGCTGTCAGCAAGGAGTTGTGGCCACCAAACATGCCCCTCAGGAAGAAGAGGATGTGCCGGGACCTCACTGACCTGCTGATCTAGGTGCCATTAATGCCTGGCCCTTCATATAGCACTTTCTGTATGTTTGCATCTGTACTCCATTTACTGTTTCCATCACAAACCTCTACAGTGAGAACTGAATCAACAACTGTTGCCGGCATCACTGAGAGATATTTGCGTGACCAGGTTAGAGCCTTACCTGGGCAATCACAGCACTGTTCAAAAAGCACAACCACCACGGCTGTCTCTGCCCCAGCGCAGGAAAACAGGAGACCTGCACATTGTCCCTGCCAAATGGCAATGCTCCAGGGCCAAGCAGAGCAAGGAGGAAGGGCCAGGGTTTTACCACAAGACTGCAGCAACTGGGAAGCCTAAACTGACCCGCTCAGCTGGCACTGTGGCCTCTTGCTTCAAAAGCAGCTGGCAAAGATGAGCTGTACCAGCTGTGCTGGGCACTCTTCCTACCACGGCTGAGGTGGGCTCTGAGATGTGTGTTTGCCTGGCTCGGTCATACGATGCAATGCCGGAGCTGGCACAGCACAAGTCTGAGGGGACGCACGCTAGGAGCTGCTGGAGCAGGGGACACGCCAGGAGAGACCATTTTCCCAAGGCAGCACATATAGCACTGAGGGGTGCATTACCTCCAAGAAGGCTTGGATGGCAAAGGCAGTGTCCCAGAGCTGGGATCCATTTGTGCCCTGGAAGTGGAAGAGAGAAAGTCAGTAGTGAGGGGCAGGTGCTGGCAGCAGCCTGACCCAGTTGTGAGGTCTATGGGACAGCATATCCCCCCTGCATTACCCGCACTAGCTCCCTCCACCCTGTGTCTCAGTTTTATGTCACCCAGCATCACGGCTGATGTGCTGGCATAGAGGGGACAGATGCAACAGCAAGGCCATAGGAAATGAGACAGCTGCTTCAGCCTGCTCTGTGCACAGCCAAGACAGGAGAGGTGGCTAGCAATAAGGAGCAGAGGGACACAACAGCTATGAGAGAAGCACAGCTCAGACCACATGCAGTACCAGGGGCCTGTCTTTTTCACCCCCTTCTCCCAGGACCCATGGGGATGAAGGGGATGGAGGCCTAGAGCTGCCCCCCTCACTCAGCTCACAGTCACAGAGAGGCAAACTAGCAGGATGCCCACTACTCACTCCTGGCACAGCCAGGGGAGGTGGCAGAGACAGACAAGACCACCAAGCACCAAAGGTGAGATGCCAGGAGCTCAGGCCCAGGATGAAGAAGCTGTCCCATTATTCCATGGGCTGCCCCAGCAAGCCAGGGTCCCTCTGTCACAGCTGAACTCCTACAGCACTTCACCTGCATCTTCATGCCGTCAAGGCCCAGCCTGTGGGAGGAGAGAGCACAATGCTGCAGCGCAGGCACAGCAAGACTGCCAGGAAGCAGGTTGGGAGCCACTCCACAGGGATCAGAGCCTTATGCTGTGCCAGCTGGGCCACACTCAGCCCTTACCAGAGATAGTCGGGGATCCTGGAAACATGATCCTGAAAAGCTGGAGAGTTCTTCCCATCCACGAACCAGCGGACCAGCATATTGATTGTCTTGGAAATCTGCCGAGAGCAGCACTGTCACTGCTCTGGATAGAGCTTCTTCCAGCCCCAGAGAAATATATCCCTCCCACTCAGCATAAAGCCATCTAGAGGTAGTCCTGGACTTAATGTCGACAGCTCCATCTGTGGCATCACTCAGCATAGCTGAGTTAATGGGGCATGAGAGTGCCATGAGATTACTCCAGAACTTCCCCTCAGATCATTTCCCCGGACCACAAGGAGAAATACCCCTCACCAGGGCCGCAGCTGTCTCCATGCCCTCTGTGCATCTTCTATGCCCGGTTAGCATTAAGCTATTGAGCGTTATAAGCAGCAGG